AGAAATTAACATTACACTGTAAACCGACTATACTGCAATGAAAAAAAATAAGAAATAACCAAAAACAAACAAGATGGAAAAAAAAAAGATGTGGGTTCCAAGTCTCTACCTGTTTCTCCACTGGGAAATGAGGTCAGGTGGGAATCTGAAAATCCAAATCAAAGGAAAGCAATAGAGTACAAAGACTCCAACATTCACCATGGTGCCTAATGCTTAGTAGCTGCTCAATTAAATTTGATGACTGAATGAATGAGATTCTTATTGGTGCCACAGAAATTTCCCTAAAGCTCAGTCTCCTTTCAAATGGCACTTATATAATAATTTTGTGCATTAAAATATGGCTGGAGTTTATAATCTTATTAGCTGACATTTAAATAAGACACAGACAAGATGACAGGGCACCTGCATCGAGGACTCCAGGTGTCTATACAGATGACTGGAAACAAGTGGGCATTTTGAAGAGTCCTCAAATTTCTCTGCAGTGAGAGCCTACAGATAGATCTGCCACGGGTGATACAAAGCATCTACCTTCCAGAAACTTGTCAAACTCTTGACTGCCCAATACTTAGCAAACATCTGGGAGAAATAAATCATGAGAGAAGATTACTGGAAGAATATGTATTCCTTTCCTTACATCAGAGACTCTAAAATCTACCCCAGGATTTAGCCAGAACAGCAGAGAGCTGTGAGCCTGCATCACAGGGTTTTGACACTGGTAGGACTATGTTCACTGAACTGCATGTTGGTTTAATGGTCCTGGCTAACACTGGTAAACACTCTAAGTGTCACTAGAAATTCATGGCTGTCAGGAACCTTAGTGCTGCCAGGAAGTTGCTGATGACATTGTTTGTACCACACAATATCCTCTTCTCCGGCCAGAGGAGGAAATTTCCCTCTGATGGAAATACCAAAAGGAACTGCTCTCCTGCGTGATTTGTGTCTGCCTCATGCCCCTGACTGTGGCTCCCTCTCTGCCTCGCCCGTGTGGAAGCTTAGAGCCAAAAGCTCAGAGGAGGAATACTGGATGTTTTTACAACATGCAATTTGTGTTCTTTCACTCCATTTTTTCCTCTCAATATTTTCTTCTTTACTATACTTTCTTTGTGCTCTATTTCTGTAAGATGTCCTCAACCCTTTTTCTGAATTCTGTAGCGTATACAGAAATAAACCAGTATTTTTACTGATAAAGATGACAGCCTGATTATTACTAACACCAGACATCAGACCTCCTGAGAAAGTAGTTCCATTCACAGCAAGGAAGACAATTAGCAAAATAATTACACAAAGCCCTAGTGACACTTCCATTATGAATGCTGATGAACCATTTAAGGTTAGATGCTCATTCAGTGCTTACTAGTTTCTATAAGTTAATGTAAATTTCCATACATGCACATGATAAAATGTGGCATGCAGCTCTGAGACAAAACCTAGGTTCCACTCACACTCATGCCTCAAGATCGTATTTACATTTGCAAATAAGGATATAATTACATTTCATGCTCACACTAACATATATGCTACTGGTAAACTGTGGACTCCTATAATTGCCCTCTGGCCCCCTCCCCTAGATCTCCAGTGGATGGACGTAGGCACAAGAGTTTCCATGCACACTCCCACTTGGCTAGGGCCAAGGATTCTGTGCTTCCTTAATGCCCTGCAAGACAATTTTCTTGCAAGTTTCTCGCACAGAGCCCTGTTAGCATCTCTTTTCTAATGAGGACCTCCAGGCTGAGGCCCTGATTCATTTTCTTCAAGTTAATGTAACCCAAACCCTTTTGTGATGACTTAAGTAGCTGTTCTCTTCTGAACAGGGATGATAGCTAACAAGATTTTTCACTGCTCTAAAATCAGAAGAACTGGTATGTTCCTGGCTAAGCTCAGAGGCAACAGGGAAAACAAACAAAAACTCAAACTTCATTTTCAGTCAGTTTAGGAGGGAGATTAACTTGCAGACAACAAAATACATGTAAGGGCTTCCAAAACCGGCAGAGACTGGGCAGAAGCCAATGAAGGAGGAAGCAAAGAGATCAAGTGTGGAAAGCAGGAGAGGGGCCCTGCTCAGGGGAAGTTTCTCAAACTCAGGCAGAAAAATCACTTCCTGAGGATAAGAGACTCACCCTTAAGTGCATCAGTGCGTTTGGGAACCGGGATAAGATGGGCTGTCTTCTTTGGTTCAGAGAAGCAAAGCAGGTGAGGCTACAATTAGAATCACTCAGATGAACCAAGCAGGCAGGAAGCTTTCTGTTTCTGTGACGCAGAGGAGGAGGGAGACTTGGACTCTCACTCATTAATCATAGGAATTAGTTATTGAGAAAAGGGACCATTTTTCATCCCTCCAAAATGTTAAGTGAAGCCACCACCTCTATGAAGGAAGACCACAAAGCAAAGTTGAGGAACAGACAACAGGACAAGAGGAAATGTGAGCTGGGAAGAAGGGGTAAAATCCTGAGACATGACGACAAAATGGGGAGGAACACAAAGGAAAACAGGCACCCAGGAAAGCGCAGAAAGGAGAAAGGAGAACTGACTTAAGAAAAGCAACGACAGGAAATGGAAACAAAGAAAGAAGTTAACGGGGAGAGGGTATAGCTCAATGGGAGAGGGTATAGCTCAGTGGGAGAGCACATGCTGAGCATGCCCAGGTCCTGGGTTCAATCCTCAGCACCTCTTTTAAAATATAAATAAATAAACCTGATTACCTCCCTCCCTGATCCCCCACCAAAAGAAGTTAAAAGGATTAAAGAGAATGATAGAAATCCAAGTGAGACAAAAGAAGAATCGATAAACATATAACTAGAGTTCTCAAAAAAGGAAACTAAACCAAAGGAACAGAACAAAGCCTGCAAATATAATCCATAAAGACAGAAGAACCCTTGAAAGGTGCACTGTGTGCCAAGGAAAATCAACCCAAGGTAGTTAATAATGAGACAGGGGACAAAAAGATCGAATCACTTAGATGGGGGAAGACAATCAACCGGCCTCAGATTTCTCTACAGGAACCTCCAATCCCCGCAGAGTGTACAGTAGCTATAAGACATGCAAGAAGAGAAGGCATGTGCCCAGGGTTTTGTGTTCAGCAGAACTGTCCTTCAAGTATAAAGTTTATAGGCCAAGCTTCGAATATACACAAATTCACAGAAATTGTTCCTCTGGCCCTTCTTGAGGAAACTGTTAGGAGATGAATTTCAGTCACAACAAGATAAAGGGAATTTCAGAGGAAAAGGGTTGGGGCTGAACACCTGATACATTTAACTTCAGAACATCTACAAACGACTCTGCTGGTTGGGGTGATACAAGAGAATGTAAATGTTATTCAGTGATGTAGAAATGACACTCTAACCAAAACTGGGGTTGCGAGGAAGACGGTGGAATATGGGATGTCTGTCAGTTGCCTCATCTGTATACCTAGGGGTTCAAAGGATATCATTTAAAATTGGCAAATCGTGTAGCTGAAGTAGAAGAGTCTTTAATAGGACAAAAATAAACATTATTAGACAATTACTGACTGAAATCAGGGAGTGGGGAGGAAAGCAACTATCTCTGTCAGATGTTAAAACACACTATCAAATCTCAATAATTAAAACATTAGTAGATAATCAGACTAATGAAACAAAACCAAAACTCCAGAAGACTCAACAGACATGTGAGTTCAGAATTTAACAAGGTGAAACATGAATAGACAGACCAGTAGGAAAAAAGAAAGAAAGAAAAAGAAAAAAGAGGAAAAAAAAACCCAAACAAGAATTTTTTTAAAAATGAGAAAGACAAAAAATTTTTAAAATGAAAGGAAAGGAAAAAAAAAAAAAGACCAGTG